AAGAATAAGACCAACAGTTGGTGACTTTTCTTCAGACAAGGCTAAAGTAGCAGTAACCATAACCTCCATGATCTTTACAAAAACTTCACAAATATTGATTTCAGAGTCTGAAAGGTTAGTAACAATGTTTGCCTTAGCACTCACGTTTTTTAATCGTTCATCCAACAATGTAGCAAGAATAGCAGGTCGTTGTTCAAGAAATCGTTGAAGCATATTATATGTGGAATTCCACCGAGTCTTACAATCCATAATCAGTTTATGATTTGGTAAGCCAAGACCAGACTGCTTCTGCTTCAAAAATTCTGTTCCAATACAACTTTTGTGAAAAAAGGTAACCACAGACCTTATTTTGCCTAAAACCTTTCCTAAAGCTGTTACATTAAGGGCTTTGTTGGAAGCAAGGTTTAATGTATGGGCGAAACATCCCAGCTTAAGATCAACGCCAGAAACCCTGATTGCTGCCGTCATATTGGATGCATTATCAACAGTGACAACTTTAACCTTATCCATAATATGCCACTTTAATAGAGCTGTTTTGAGTTCAAGACCAACATTTTCTCCAGTGTGGCTTCCATGAAAATGTTCAGTTTGCAGGACTTTTGACTGCAAATTCCAATCTTTAAGGTAGTGACAAGTGATGGTTAAGTACGAATCAGCAGACCTTGATGTCCATGCATCCGATGTCAAACCAACTGCAAGGGCTTGATCAAGTTCACTTTGAAGTGCTGATTTCTCTTTCTCCAACAGATTAGGTATCAGCTTCTCTGCCAATGTGTGCCGATTTGAAGGTTGGTACCTGGGCTCCAAGACAAATAACATTTTTCTAAATGGTTGGCTTTCGATGGTACTGAAAGGGCGTAGGTCCTGAATGAGATAATATACTACAGAGTTTGTAATCTCATTTTACTTTGCAAATGGAAGTTTTGCTTGTTGAGATATTGTCCATGGATTCGCTGATACTGATGAGGATGAGCAGCTGCTGCTTGCACTTGCAGTAACTGTATCAGAGACCTTTCCTGAAAAAAATATGGAAAAATTCATTAAGTTCTGTCACAAAAAAATTAAAGAATTTTGATGAAATTTATTATAAAAATAATTCATATCCTTCTCGTTCAAACATCTTTTGAGTCTATTATAGCATGGCAAAGGAACCTTTATTACTTTAATTGTGCAACTTTTCTGAAATAAACATGATGGCCTTTTTTGACGATATGAAACAAAACAATTATTTAAAAAAGGATTAGATATCATTATACAAATAATTTTCATGCAAACATTTATGCAAAATATCTTTATTTATTATGGCAGGTGCCTATGACTGTTTTAAGTTTATAGATTTTAATTATAAAATCAATTTTGTTAAATTTGAGATATATGGTAATAGAACGGTGACAATTCTCTAAAACATCATATTTCATTCTTAAACGGTAAAATAAAAATAGAAATATCACGTTTTAATTTTGTAGACTTCATTTGATGTAATTTCCGAGAGCTAAATCCGTAACTTCCTGGGAAACGGTGTTTAGCTAGGTCACAAAAGGTCAATATCTCGGTCACATTTATTTAGCTACTTTCATATTGGAAAATCAATAAATTTGTAAGATATATGTGTATACTATATACAATTCGTGTGTTGGATTAAATTACAAGTTACTGTTTGGTCTAATAAAAATACCGCAAACCTGAAGGTAACTTTTTCTCCAATGCATTAGATTGAATGGCTGGATCAATTTTGTGATGCCTCCTCAGATGAGTTGACATATTAGTTGTGCCGCCGGAACTTGCCACTTCGGCCTTGCAAATATTACAGAGGGCCTTTTTATCGTTGACTTTGGAGAAAAATGCCCACACTTTTGACTTTCTCGCTGACATTTTACTTGTTAAACAGACGATAATTTTAATGTAGAGTCATCATGATCGTTAGTTACGCATTTATTAGGTTGTCTCCCTTTGTATCGGTATAGCTAAAACCCGGTAACCGTACCGTATTGAAAAACGGAAAATCGATAAATACCGATTTACCGGTATATTAATCCAGCCCTAATTCTGTTACTAGTAACATCCTCATTTCCGAAGCAGACTTGTGGGGGTATTAATCAGCTTTAATGATAGTTCTAGTTATATTTGAGTTTTATTTTCTGTATTGAATTCACTGGGTAGACATTGTATTGGATATAGTATGAATTTCATACTAATTGAAGTGTCAAACCCGCTTTGTGCTTCATGTACCACCTCTTCCACAGATCTATTAATTTGTCACTGAACTTAAATATATTGTGCAAACATACAGAAATATACAGTAAGTCGTGAATGTTTGCTTAAACTTGTCCAGATGTCCTAATTGATTGGGAAAATTTACCATTTTCATTTTTTGAAGACTACTTAACATAGATAAAAAATATTTATAGTCCCCCCCTTCTGAAAATAATGCCTGTTTTTACATGTGTGATTATAAATAATAACTAGTGAAATTTTTATTGATTAGAGCAGAAGTGTTTTGTACGGCCAGACAGCATAACATACACTATTTTATCATTTGTCTGTACATGAACTTACTTTCATACTGATGTTGTTTGATATATTGCTCTATGTTTTTCAAGCTATGGAAACTTCTGATATTTCATCAGGCAAACCTGGGCGCTCATTTCACAAATTTTAGAAAGGAAATTCCTAAATATAAAAGACCTTTTCCCAAAAAGTTTATGTTTTTCTTTATCTTATTTTTAAAAAGTTTGTAAATTTTTTGTTAGCCTCTACCTGGCAATATCCTCTTGAAATAAAATTTAATATGCTTTAAGAATAATAAAATACAGAACGTTATAAAAAGCAACTTCAGAAGTATTGTCTCTTACTGAATGTATGTGTAGCAAAAATTGCATGAATTTTCCACTTACGAGAGAAAAATTAAATAAAAATGTCCCCTTCCTTCGCTGGTACAGGTAAGCTGTTCTCTCAAAACAGAGAGAGAGAGGGAGGCAGAGAGCTCTGATGGTCTTGTAAATTTTAGTTGCCCAGTGGCTCTATACTTGTTGGTAAAGGCCACACAATTTAAGTCCAATCATGTTTATGGGTTAAAGTATTTCAGGTTTTATTCAGCTTTCAATCTTAAGTCACTAATATTTTGCAATTTCTGGTGAATTATTGACAGAAATACTAATTTTTGTTGTAATCAGCAAACTTTACCAAAACAACAACAACAACATCAGCAACAACAAAACAACAAGTTCAACCTATAGGCACCATTGAAAAAAGAATTTTCATTAATGTTGACAATATAATCTTTCACTATAATGAAATGAAATGAAAAATTACTTAAAGTTTTATTATTTATTCAAAGCAGCACGCCTCCAGATTCATGTTAATTTTATGAAAATTTGGGAAATGTTTTATTTTTTAAGTAAAATATTGTAAGGTAAACATTTAAATAAAGTAATTTACATATTGCAATCGGCACTCACAATCCACGAAAATTAACAAAAAATGGTCAAAATATGCAAAAACAGCCCTTACTGTGTTAGTTAAACGTAGTAGGAATATGGTGATAAAATACTGCAGAATCAGTCTTATACCACATATAACATGTAAAATCTGGAAGTGTGCAGCTTTAAAGATACACTGTTTTTAAAGTTGTATTCTCAAGGAAAATAACTGCTTAAGATTTATATGTCTCTTGAGTTACTTCCCTTGAACTTTTCTTAAAAGCAAAAAAAAAACTAAAAAAAAAAATATTTTTTTACAAAAACTAAAACACTTACATAAATTAAAACAGATTTTAAGATAGCTGATTTCAGTACAAAATTATTTATGCCTAGATTTGTTGATTATATACAAGTATAGGATCTGCAATCTAAATGATATTTTTTAATTGGAAAGGATAATGCCCTGGGGTTATAGTGAGAAAAAAAATCAAATTAAAATTTTTATAAAAGGTGATTTAATTTTCTTTTGTGATCAGTATTTGAATAGTTGAATATTATTATTATTATATGAAAGAACAGTGTCTCAAGCTTGAGCAAATTTTTACAACTTTTTTAAAATATTATCATGTTATATAAATTCATATTATATTTTCATTAATTCATTAATATTCAAATAAATTTTTAATTTAAGTTCATTTTGTTTTTAAAAGTGTAAAAATGTACAATATGGGCTTCTTTAATCTGTGTACATGAAGAAGGCAGTTATTTTTTAAAGATAAAAGAAAATATTTTTAGATATTTTTATGTCATAACTTTTTATTATTTTGAAAATTTCCTGTTCAGATAATTATGTTTTATTAATTATTTTACATATTCTTAGACACACACACACTACTGGTATAAATCTTCCTGCAAACATGTACATGTGGTTTTCTCAGGTTTCCCTTTAATTACTATATTAAATTAAAATAACTGTCAGGCACTAACATTTTTTTTCCTAATTAAATGTACAAAAGAAACTATAGTGCAAGGCGGAAATAATAACTAATGTTTATATAAAAGAGGAAAGACAAAAGAAAACGAGAGAAACTTTAAAGATCTGCCTATTGTTTTCTTGCATTTAAATTCGAATGTTTTGACTGTTGAAACGGAACATTAACTACAGTTATTTAGATTATGACTAGAAACTCATAAAACAAGAGCTATTGACTTTACTGCGGCAATATTTCTATTTTAATCAATAGTGTCATTAAAAAAAAATCCCGATAGGTTCGAAATTTTCTGTAAATATTTGCATAGGACTCTTCCTGATACAAAAGCTTCCCTAATTTGCTGTAAATACGCAAGGTAAAGCTAATACCTGTACATAACTAAAGTTTAAAAAATAAATTTCATGTTAATAATTATGGTTTCAGCCTTGTATGGGACATATTAAATGTAAAATAAAACCTTTCTCTATTGTCACTTGAATGGGGTGTAATTTAGCTCCGATTTTATATAATGGTCACATGATCTCGTCGAGTCTTTGTCGTAAATTTTCTCTGTCAAAGGCGGCCAGTAAGAGTCAATATTTATTCAATCGGTAAAAGCTTTAATATAGACATTGCAAAATTTTGTTCTATCATATTGTAGTGATGGTAGTGTGAACTGAGGGGTATTTGATTATAAAGTGAAAATATTCCAAAGATCTTACGGCTTGGGGCAAAAATTTATATCTCTTGTGTACACTTGAATAGTTATTGTTTTTCCTAGTATCAGTGAAACAGGACATGTTTTAAGGGGGAGACTTGACTTACTGATGTTCAACAGGACAATATTATTTACTTTCAAGACTTTTTCTACCTTATTTGGAGAGTTTTAAGTGGTTTATGCGGAGCTCAAGTTAATTACTCAGGAAATCTGGACAATAAGTGATAGCTGAATAATTATTTAGTTAGTACAAATCGAAAGTGCATTATGCATCAGTTTATACGCTGACAGGAACTGATTATCTGATAATATTTTCGATGTATTGATCGGAGAGTTTTATAAAACGAGGACACACTTCCCAGTGTGGTTGATCAACTAAGCTGATATCATTTACAGAGTGTACATACCTCGTGTCACATCATATTTGTTTCCGTATCGTCTTTATGTCATGTTATTTTTTTTCTGCGGATAGATAATCGGGAGTTTACTATTTAATCATAATTTAATGTCCTGCTGACGTTTGGGTTTATTCAGTCGAGCTCCGTGTGATCCATCGCCAACACTGACTTGGAATCGAGTCATCACATCAGTGCTATTTTTAGAAACTCTACGAGAGGAAGTGTGAATACCAATACTTATTGCTCACAATATAATATGCTCAGTGATCGCCGTGCAGGTGTATAATGTACGTAGCTTACAGTTACCCTCTCGGACAGCCAGCTATCCCAGCTTTAGGAGCTCACACACCGATCGCCACAGAATTACCACCACACCAGTTTTTGACCGCTGTCACATCGCCGTCCATTGCTGACCCCTACCTGGTACCAGTCACAGCAGCGCCACAACCGCTACAAGCCACCGCTGCTGCATATCAACCTCTTACTTTAGCTGTTTGCCGAAAGGTAAGGTATTCTTTTGCAACTTAAAATACTTGCTGTTAAAATGCATAAATACTTTGCATACAGTGCACAGGTGATATACAATACAATTATGAGAATTCGTGATGTTCGTAAATTCAGAGTATTGCTTTTTCTATTTTATACTCTGATATATTAAATGATATAAACAAGTGGATGGTATATCATTGTGGTTGTCACAGCTTGCGTGTATTACCTGCTTTAAGGTATTGATGTCAATCCAGTTGCTGATGTTAAAAACAGATAGATTTGTCCATCCGCCTTTCAGATGTACGAGGAAGTTTTAAATTTCAGGATATTTCTATTATTTGAGGTGGTTTTGAAAGCTGTTTACCAAATGTTTATTTTTGTTTCACTATTGTTACACAAGATATGTGTAAAAATGCTGTCAATGTACATTTATTACAGTAGTAACTGATTGTGAAACACCACTTGAATGTGATTTTTAACAATAGAACAGGAAGCCCCTCATACCTTAAGTCACATATCTCCTTATTTTTAAGTGAAAACTTTCATTTGTGTAAGTAAATGAACTAAGTTTATATGAAATACAAACTTTTCAGATGGCTTTTTCAGTTATTAGGTTGTTTTTTTTTCATTGCCAAATTTGGTCCATTACTATACTTGGACTTGTAAGTTTCAGTTTTTAGAATGAATTGCCCATGGTTAACCTATTGGTTTGAGTTTGGTCATTTAATGTATAATAGATCTCTTTCCTTAGTTTTTCTGAAACTGAAGGCACCAAGGGTTTTGTTTGGGATAATTTTGACTGATTATAAGGTCAAAACCATTAGTAGAAAACAGAGCATCTTCTTGCATGTGACTGCATTAATATTTTATATTATATTCATGTAGTTTTCCACTTTTGTATAAAGTGTAGAAGAAAGTAACGTGACGGTGGAAGTTAAAGTAACTTGACAGGCTCTCGAGTAGTTGTTTGTAATAACTTCCGGATTTTTGTGTACATTCTAAAGTGCTGGAAAATAATGACTGATGGGGCACGAACAAAGTTAGCACTGTAATACAGTCAAGATCCAATTGAAATATTTAGAATTCCCATAATCATGATGTGCAAAAAAAAAAAAATGACAAAAAAATAAGAATCTTATGCTCTTGATTAAAACAAAGTAATGATTGCGCAGTCATTTAGTTTTCCAGAATCCTTCAGCGTTTATTAATTAAATTGACAAAACAGAAGACTTTTGTGCACTTAATGCTTTGGTATAACTTGATTGATATTTTACAACCTTATAACAAGAGGTTAGATAAAAAAAGTTAACAATTAATATTAAGTTATTTGTTATTATGCTAGGTAATATTTGAAAAATGCATTTTAAAAAAAATCCAAATTTATTTTGCGGGAACTACAGAAATGAGTTAAATATATGTACTAAGACATGTAATACAATTTCATTGGGATAAAAATTTATAGACCAAATATATTCATTATAAGTAAGACATTTGATTTCAAGTTTTTTTTGCCCTTATATTTTTGCCCTCACTGCCCTTGAGAAGAACTTTTACTTCTCTGGAATGTTTTCTAAGTTTATTCAATTATCCGGGCTAAATGAAACATTGAAGTAGCAAATGTGAAGGGTATGTAATTAAATGGTTACTGGATTTAAGTCTGTTAACAATTTTATTTTTCTGTCACTTAAGATCGAGCCACTGTACTCTACATTGTTTTTGAAAAATAGGAAGAAAAAAGTGTATATATATATATTACAGTCATGGTTTCACCATGGGGGTGGGGGGGGGACATTTTGCATGATTAGTTCTTGATAGTCTAAAGTACTGATTAGTACAAATGTTCATTTTAAAACTAAGAATTCTGGTTATAACATAATTATGGATAAAAAATAAAAAAAACCCCCAAAAACAATGAATATCAAAAACATGAATAATAACACACATTGTGGGAAATCCTGAAGAAAAAGTTGAACTGAAAACAATGATACATCATGTATCATGTGCAGATGAGAAATTGTTATAATACTAGTCATTATTGTTAATGAAAAAAATAGACAATAACTTTACTGTTGTTTTCAGCACGAAATGCACTATTCATGTTCATGACTTACAAGTGTATCATTTGTTCTGTAAATCTTAACCTGTTGGTCAGACCAGAACAGAACAGAACAGTGACCATACGCACAGTGCAGACCAAGATCAGCTGGCAAATCTGTGCTGTCTGATAGTGGTCTGCACTGTTTGCTATTCAGTCAATACATTTTTTGAAAATTTCCCTTAAAAAATTATGAATGGTTTTATTAGAGATTGAAAGATGGACAAGTTCATTTAAGTTGGTTTAAGGGTTTATAACAATATTATACTTTTTCATGATGATATATAAATAAATATGGACAAAACATAACATTAAATGTTTTAAGGACTTTGTACTATGTCCTCATTAATTCAAGTATAAACATCATCTACAGTGATCATGAAATTACAGTAGTACTTTTCACAATAAAAATCAAAACATAAAAAAAAAACCCAAAACATAATGATTTAAAAAAAAATTTGCACCAGAAATTGTGATGGGATTTGCATGTTTTAGATTAATGTTATGAAAAGTTCAAGTTGAGAAGACATTGAAATGTCTTTTGTCTAACTTGTATTTTGCTTTAATGATATCCTGTCTGCGACAATGATGTCCTAATTGGGTGATAATTACTGGGCTCAATACAAGAGACTACCGTTAAAAAAAACCACGCTGATAACTTAATTGTACCTTAAGTGTAAGTCAATCTATTGCTGTCATACTATGTAATTACAGAAAGAATTTGTTTTGACAGGAAATAGTTTTAATCTGAGGCCCCTTTTTGTAATGCGCTTGCCTTAAGGATATTTGTATGTTGTTTTCACTGTGAACAGCTTTGTTTAAAGATTACTATCTTCATTACAATGGTTACATCATCTTTGCTTACATTTATATCACAAAGAAAAACATGTGCAGGTTTCTATTGAAACAGATTTCTTTTTGTGATTATAGAAAAATAATGTGCAAATATCCAGGTGCATTGTTATACATTTTATCTGGTTTTTAAGGTGGTAAAATTTTTTTAATGCCAAGGTTTGTACACAAGCTTAGAATTCAATTAAAAAGTAAGGGATGTGTTAATTCACCAATAGAATAGTGTGGGAAATGAATTCCTTGTTAACAGGTCATAAAATTGTGGTGTAAACCTTTTCAAATGATTCTGTTATTGGCATGCTCAAACATTAAATTGAAAAACGTCTTTATCTATCCGCCATTATATTGTCATGCTGTTTTTGATGATAAAATTAAAGCTTATAATGGGTGTAAAATTTCACTGTTATAACGGTTTGAAAGTTATTAAAAGTGAGCACAAAGAAAACCGTGTAACTCAAGAAAATGTTTTTCCTTATTGCTATGCAAATCCTTTAGGTAAGGTAGAAAATGATAATGTAATAAATTAAAACAGTGTATGAAATAGTGTTATTTTTGGGGAGGGTTTTGCTATTAAAATTGCTATAGTATTAGTATAAACAACTTCCTATTATATGTAGTCACTACATCATGTTGGAAATATGATATAAGGTAACTGACTGAGGCAGCAATGAGGTTTGAGCATTCTTACCATTGCAACGCTGCTCATAGAACAGCAGACACTCTTCTTTGCCAAGTAGGCAAGAAGTTTACATACATTTTGATTAAACTGCATGAAAATGTTGTTTATTCCATGAATAACCTGGCCATTACAGTCACCTACTTTTGTTATGTTGGGTGGATTTTTTTTATGTGCACTAAAAATAGCTTCAGATATATCCTAACCTTCATTCAAAGGGTTTGGTGTTTAGAATAAGAGGACTTTACTATCTGGTTATAGGCAAAGGACTGAAAGTTTTACATGGGACTTTCTAAGGTTTTGAATTAGCATGGGACTTTCTAAGGTTCTGAAGTTGCAGTCAAGTTGGCTACTTTCTAATGATGATAGATTTATCTTTTATGCTTCAGAACTAATAGCTATAATTTATTAGTCTTTGCCACTAGCATAGAAAATAAGCCTTACCTGAACCAGTACATTCTTGCAGTCAGACTTGACTGAAGAATGCTGGCTGCATGAGCATTATTTAAGCATGTTGATACTGCATCAAATTGTCCAGTAAATTAATAATGAGCAAAAACTCCAACTTCAAAGTATAATGACAAAATACATTTTCAAATTTATCTGACTGGGCAAATGTTAAAGCAATAACAAATTAATATTCAGTAGCTATTAATGTATGAAATATGTGCCTTTGTAAGATATAAGATATGTTCATGTTAGATCATGACTATGGATGTTTTTGGGGCACGTTGATCACCCAGTAAACATTGACATTTGGCTTATCTTTGGGAAGGCTTCACAAGGGACTTCTATTTTTATTGATCTCTCTGTTTAATGTACTAGTTTTATCCTTCCTAGTATCAAAGATAAGGTTTGCAATTATCAAATTAATTTAGGCTGTTTGAAATATTTTTTTTTTTACTTTGCTATAAAATTAACCTTTTTTGGCATTTTGGAACAGTGCTGTATTGTAGATGAAATGTTCCGTGCTTGTGTCATTGAAGTTTTTCAGGTTAAGGTCCTTAAATGGAAGCTAGTCAAGTCCATTTGGTTAAATAAGGTTTAAGAAGCATTTTAGTGGATTGTTGGTGGTTCTGTCAACATTAAGTATTTTCACCTGGGTATTTTGCAGCTTCCTTCGTAAAAGCATTTCTTTATATTATAATGTCTTCAAAATTCAGCCTGATACAAATTTACATATTCATTTTTCCGATGACAAATGATTTATTCACCTTTTCTTGGAATTTCAAATTATTTTCAGACTTTTTTTCCCCCCAACAGATTTTTAAAGATACTGGAAATGAAATTTACAAATGTTTTAGTGTGACATCAATGTGTTACAGATGGTGTCATATATCAAAAATCACTTGCTTCTTATACCAAGCTTTGTCTCTGGTTACTAAAACCACT